AAGGGTGATGTCATTCCATATTGTGAGTATTGATGCACGAAGGGTGATATCGTGCCATGTTATGAGAGTTAATGCATGAAGGTGATGTTGTGCCGTTTCTATTGATTTATATAGTGAGGTTGAGAGTAAAAGCACGAAGGGTGATGTTGTGCACTTTTCTTTATTATGTTTAACTGTTTTCATTGGTTCAAGGTATAATGGATGTTCAAGTTATCATTGTTGTTGTGTTTCTCTATCTCGTATTCCCCTCGGCATGTTCCCCTCCCGATATTTTCTGTCTAGCCTTTAATTGTTGTTATTTGTACATATACCGTTAATTTGCATAAGTTTATTATGTAGGTGTCTTGTCATAGCCTCGTTACTACTTCGTCGAGGTTAGGCTCGACACTTACCAGTATATGGGGTCGGTTGTACTTATACTGCACTCTGCACTTCCTGTACAGATTTTGGTACTGGCCCGAGCTGATCGTGAGGTTAGCGGTTAGCCGCTGGATTGATTGACAGGAGACCCAAGGTAGATCTGTTGGCGTCCGCAGACCCTGGAGTCTCTCCCTAGTCTTAGTATTTTACTGTTTCTTTTCCTTCAGAATATTGTATTTTCTTTTAGACTCTTTTTGTAGTTAATCGTAGTAGCTCGTGAGTTGTGACTCCAGATCCTAAATGTTTCAAATGTTTTGGGTTTATGATATTCCGCAAAGTAGTTCTAATTCCTATTTAGCTTAATTGTTCTTATTATTGAAACTGGATAAAGTTGGCATTAAGAAACCTCTAACGTTGGCTTGCCTAGCAAGTGAAATGTTAGGCGCCATCACGGTCCCGACGATTGAAATTCCGGATCGTGACATAATGAATGACGTTATACAGATGGAGAATATTTATATCGAGAACGAAAAGAAAGAAAACTCTTTCTATCTTATTATTAATCAATTGCTATTGAGCAAAAAAGTAAGTTTGTTAGAAAAATAATTCTATAATAAATAATAGAACAAGAAATAAAAAAGATGCCAACATAAATGGTGCCCTAAATTATGTTGATGGTTGACACGTAAGTTGCACGCACATTAAACAGTGTAATGTTGTATAATAAACATTACGAACCAAAGATTAATGCATGTAAAATGTATTTTTTAAACGTTTTGGAAATTAAATTAATGATATGTAATAAAGGAAAAGGGAGCAAACTATGAAAAAGTAGAGTCATTCCTGAGATAGGGACAAAATTATCAACTTGCCACTTTTAAAATATGTTAACAACAATAAAAGATCTAATTAATTAGTTTCTTAATTCATCTTCGACTCACTAAACACGTAAGTTGCACGTATATTACATTCTGGTAAGTCGTTATCAAGTTCATATTAAAAGATAATAAAGAATATATAGATAAACAACAAAGTCATTATGAAGTTTATATTGACTTGTTTTCCTTATTAGCATCCCCTGTATTTTGAATAAAAAGTTAAAAGTGTAGAAAAAATTATAGGAAACACTTATATTAGAAGCGAGAAAAACTAATGGTATAAATGATGTAATAAATGAGTAAGAGGTAGGTGAATGAAAAAAGGAGTAAAAGTATGATTTGTATCGATCAAACATATATTAACGAAGGGGGAAGTTGGTGGTGGTGTTCGTCGCAAAAGAAGAAGCACGACTAGAAATTCGGCCAAAACTGACCGCAGTCAACCGACCAAAAAACCGACGTACGTTGGTCGGTTTTAAAAACATTTTCTTTTATAGATTTTTTACGAAACACAGTGAATTCGGTCGGGTTTTTTGGGCGCCAAATGCGGAAAATTATTTTTGCATCCCAGAAAATTTATTTTTTAAGAAACCGACCAACTTCGATTAGTTTTTTATTTAAAATAAATTAAAATTAATATTCAAAAAGTGATCAAAATCGGTCAGTTATTTCAGTCGTATTTTAAAAAACCTACCGATTTCGATCGATAATTTTTTTTTAAAAAAAAAAATAAAGAAGAAATTGGTCAATTATTTTTGCGCAAAAATAAAATTAAATAAAATAAAATAAAGTCTTAAATCAAAAAGCACTCATAGTCTAGTGGTAGAATAGTTCTTGTCACAACATAGACCTTGGTTCAATTCTCAATCTCTTTTTACCAATTTATTAAAGAAAAATTAAAACCTTTTCCTTTCTCCTCCTTCTCCATGGCAGCACCAGCACTACATGTTTCATCCACCAAGAACACCACCCTCCATACAATTAAAATCCGAAAAGTCCAGACGAATCGGTAAAAAGTCGGGGTGTGCATTCGATTTATCGATTCGATTTTGACCCTTATCGATAATTACTTATCAATTATCGATTTGTACATATGCTTATCGTTATCGTTTCAATAAGGTTTCGATTTTTTCGATTTCGATTTATCGATTTTTGGGGCTTATCGATTTGGTTATCGATTACACCAATAAGAAAATTTGCGGGATTCCGCGGAAAGTATATCACTATAAACACGCCTAACTAATATGGACCAAAAGAAGCTAAAGTAAGACGAACACCGTTTATAACATAAAAATTGTGTCAACAAGCACATGCAACGAAACTAAAGTAAGGGATCAAATGTATGCCACCAACACTCCAACGGTATAAAAAAAATACATCATCACGGCTAATTCTATTTTCCATTAATTTGAACTTCATTCCCTTGAGCTTTAAATATGATCATTCCTTGAATGTGGTAAATGAAATAATAGGGTTAGGGACTTAGGGTAAAGGAAAGGGTATTATAGAATAAGGGACAAAAAAAAAATTAAAAAAAAAAAAGTAAAAAAAAATAATTTTTTTTTTGTATTTCTTATCGGTTTATCGATAAACCGATAAACCGAAGAGGACAAAATCGAAATCGAAATGATAACTCGATAAGGAAAATTTCGAAATCGAAATCGAAATCGATAAACAGATATCGATAAATCGATAACAAATAATCGATTCGATTTGTCGATAAACCGATTCGAATGCACACCCCTAGTAAAAAGAACTCTCTTCCATTATATTCTCCAAAGTTATCTTGAAAATCTCCATACAATTAGTAAAAAGAAGAAAAACAATTTCCAACAATCTCAAATGGGAGCTCGCTGATACATAGATATTTTGGCGTAGAAACCAACATCCTCCAAATCTAATTCTATTTATTCCTTTTACGTTTTCTGAACAGAAATTTTAAGAAAGATTCAAATCATCTCTAAAATTTTCAATCTTCTACGCCCAATAAATTGATTTTCTCAAAATTAAAATTTTTGGGGGGGGGAGGAATCGGGCAGCAACAAAATGAAGGGGTGAAGGAAGAAAGAGAAGGGAGGGCGTAGGGGTGGGTGAGAGTTTTCAGCTTTTGCATTTCTTTTTTGTTTTTCCTTTTCATTTGCTTTCTTTTCTGATTTTAATACTTTTTTAATCAAAATTGTTATATTCACGCGCTTTTGTATCGTGGTGTCCACATATTTTAGCCACATCATTTAAGTCGTTGCCACATAAGTATGGTCAATGGTCAAAGGTGTTTATTGATACACATTACGTAAGTACAAGTGTTCAAATGGAAAACTTGTAAGTTCATTTACCGGATTGACAAACGGGTACAAGTTTAAGTGGTCTGGATGCCATTTCGCCTTAAAAAACAAACCGGATTCGGTCGGTTATATTTTTTTGGCCGATTGTGGAATTTAATTAACCGGCCGAAATCGGTCAGTCACAACTGACCGAAGTCGATCGATTGGCTCTACCGACCATCACAAATTGGTCGGGTTTCGATCGTTTTTTACCGATTATCGACCAACATCGGTCGATTTTTGCTTGTTTTTAGTAGTGAATGAGGAGGATGTACTAATGGTGGCGGTCAGATATCAAGAAGAATAAAGATGACGTGGTGGCGGATGAATCTGATGAATAAAAATGAGGAGGAGGTGCTAGTAGTAATAGGCGACTTTGGAGAAGGAAATGGCGGTGATGGTTGTTGTGGCTGAATCTAAAATGGGAGCAGGTGATATAGCAGTAGCGGCTATGATAACGACGATGGAAATTGGATCTAATGAATGATGATGATGATGAGGAGGAGGAGAGATGGTAGTTGCGGTCAAATCTGAAGAAGAAGAAGGAGAAGGTAGTAGTGATGGTGGTGGTTGCCAAAGTTCTAATGAACAAGATCAAGACGTGTAGAACATTTCAGAAGATACATTTATTAGAAGACACTTACTGTGTTAGAAATAAGGAAACGAATTGTATAAATGACATAACAAATAAGAAATCGATTTGCATTAGTCTCGATATTTATACCATTTTTACGTAACTAAGTACTAGTAGTACCTTTACTACATAGTACGTAAATAATCAATGTGATTATTCATATGTTCCCGAACCCACCCCATAAGAAGAAAAAAAGGAAAAGAAAAAGAGAAAAAGAAACAGTCGAAACCTTAAAATAGTGACATTCTGACATGGAGGCTTTTATAAAACACAGCTAGTGCATGCATGTCAACGGTGGCAGATCTAGAGGGCAACGTGTGCGGGTTCCCAGAAACCCAGTAGCTTTTGTACAGTCCTTATATATGTATTAGAAAATTTATTAAATATCTATAAGTATTTGATTATGAAATGTATTGTTAACTTGAGATCGTTACAGGAATTCATAAACTTCAAAGTCTGGATCTGCCTCTGCATATTAGTATTCTAGACTTTTAATCTCGACAAAAAAGTTAGACTTAAAAAAAATCTCAGGTAACTAAGCACATATCAATTTGTTTTTCAACATAGACGTGCGCACATATATATATATATATATATATATATATTTGGTAATAACATTCCACATTTAGCTTTGTGGATGTTAATACTTTCATAAAGGTTTTTCTAAGAGTAATATTTTATGAAAGAATGTGCTTAATTAGCACATGCTTGAGCCAAATATTCCAAGAAAAAGGATGAAGAAAAAGATACAATGGCAAACTACTAAGTTTATAGACTTATATATAATTTTTTTTATTTATTTTTTTGTTAATTTTGTTTAATACAATAACTGAACATTTTGCAGTCCATATACTCTATCAACACACCATAGTACACATTAGCTCTATACATGCTAATTATACCTTTACAAGTTTACATGCATGCATGTTTTTTCTTTCTTTACCATATAAAAAGAGCTAATTAAACAACAACAAAATAATAATTAAGTAATTAAATTAACCACACCATGGAGGATAATTAATCCCATCATCCAAGTTGCATGCATATATGCCTGGATCATTCACTGCTTCTTGAAATGAAGTTGATGCTTTTGCTTCCTCCCATATTGAAGAATCATCAATTTCTGGCAAATTCATATTCAAATCTCTCCACATTTCTCCACCAATTCCTTCATTCTGATTAATATTGTTTTCATCAAACTCTTCAGCTGTTTGATTAATGTCCAGAAACTGAAATGAAGTTTGATCCGCAGTAGAAAAACTGTTGTTACCAAAATCATTGTTGAAATAGAAAGATGTGTTATCATTTCCCATACTCCAAGTTGATGGTGATGCTACATTATAAACAGCAGCTGGATTGCATGTGGGAGGAGCTGAAACTGGGCCTCCAGCATTGTCTAGGCCCATGGTATTGGGCCTAGAATTCTGGGCCTGGGCCTGTTTGTTGTAGAGATGCGGCAAGTTGAGTTTCGCATCGGCTCCGTAGAGTTTACGGGCCGCGGCATCGTATGCCACGGCCGCATCATAAGAATTCTCAAAAGTGCCGAGCCACAAGCGGGCTCCGCGATTGGGCTCGCGGATTTCCGCGACCCATTTACCCCAAGTACGCTGGCGGACACCTTTATAAGTGCAGCTAGCATTTTCAGGCCCACCTTTACCTCTCATACAGCCTTTTCTTGAAGTAGCTTGAGTTATTTTTTTGGTTTTTCTTTCAACAGAGTAAGTTGATGACATTGTTGGGCAAAATGAGGACTGAGTTTTTCAGGAGAGAAAATGAGTTTTTGAGTAGATGGAGATTAGTTTTAGATGGGGGTATTTATAGTTGAGGAAAGGTGAAAATGGGTTGTGCTTTAATGGAGGAAACAAGTCTAAGATACGTGTCTGTTTACATGGTTAGCTTGTTGATACTTGTCAAGTGAAACTTTTGATCATGTTTGTATATTTTTTTTTTTTAAAGAAGATCATGTTTTGTGTCTCTAGTTAATACAAATGCTTATGCGTTTTTTTTGTTCTCAAGCAAAGGTGTCGAAGACATGAGTGTTACACCTCAGAATGCTGTTTTAGGTTTTCTTCTTCTTATTCTTTTTCCTTTTAAAGTTTTCCCATTTCAACCTGCGTTTCATATTAAGAGTGTATGAGTAGACTGTGTTTAAGTGAACACAGAGTATAAGAAAAAAAGAAAGATTTTTGCTGCATACCAAAAATATCTATTAAAATTTATGGTATTAGACATGTCATGATATTTCTGTAGTTAGTAAAAATAAGAAGTTCAGGGAAACAACCTCAGGGTAAGGCTGCGTACAATAGATCCTTGTGGTCTGGTCTTTCCCACGCGGGAGCTTAGTGCACCGGGCTGCCCTTTTTAAATAAAAATAAGAAGTTCAAATTTAAAGAATTTTAAAAAAAAGTGTCATGTTTATATGAAACAAATTAAAAATGAATGAGTGTTAATATAAAATTAAGTGAGTTTTTGTCCTTGTTTTGAAACTGGCATGTAAAAAACCAAATTAAAAAATAGGATGAAGTAAATCCTTACGTCAGTCCCGGGAAAAAATTGAGTGTGGATAAGTACGGAATCACTCCAAAAACATAGCAGAGGAGATATAGACAATTAAGAAGAGGTAGCTTACATATACGTGGCTGTTTAAAGTCTGATGGATAACAGTTGTGTAGAATTGGAAGTTAGTCCAGATTCATTTGTGGTATTCATGGCAAAGTAGAAAAGAGGAAAAGTAATGAATAAGCCAAATTGAGAAGATTAGATAGCTTTGAAGAATTAACAAACTGAGCCTGTGGGTATAGTAAATGCAATTTTCCAATGAGTTTCTTTTCATTCACACGAGTCTTGTGAGTCCGAGGAAAATATGTCCTCCTGTCGGAACCTTCCTGTCGCTAAGTACAAAATCTTGTACTACTGTCCACCCCCCAGCCCCAGGGACTAGCAGGTTTGGGGGGGGGGGGAGGGGGGGTAGGCTCCTCTTCCCAATATAAAAGAGAACCCCCCATAAGCAAAATATAGCACTGTGTGAATCATGGAAAATGTAGTATGAGATTGGCCACTAGGAAAACCCTCTTTATAGTATTTGATAAAGTATTCATATTCACCAACTAATTCGGATTCGCATCGTGTAAGAATAATGCATGTGAACACGATTCAAGAAAGGAGCCTTAAATGGCTATAAAGATCATCCAAAGAGAGAAAAAGACAAAAAAACGTGTCCTGGGTAACGCGTCATTTAAAAAAAAAGTTTTAGGCGTCATGCCCACGACAGCTACGCATCATGTCCTGATCAGTTACGCTTCAATTCCTAACAAAGTTGGCATCAATTAACTGAGACCAAACTTTCATCAAATTAAATTTTTGAGACATAAATGTGTTATGCTCTTGCATATAAAATAGTTAATACAACTAATTCGGATTCGCGTCGTATAAGAGAATGCATGTGAACACTTTCACAAAAGGAGCCTTAAATGGTTATAAAGATCATCTGAAGAGGAAAAAAACAAATGTGTGACTTGTGTAACGCGTCATTTAAATAATAAAAAGTTTAACGCGTCATGCCCACGACAGCACAAGCTATAAAATAAGTTTCTTTTCTCCTTTTTGAGAAAAGAAAATAAAAGTTACCGCGTCATGTTCTGATCATTTACGCTTCAATCCCTAACAAAGTTGGCATCAATTAACTGAGATCAAACTTTCATCAAATTAAATTTTTAAGACATAAATGTGCTATGCTCTTGCATATAAAATAGTTAGAACAACTAATTCGGATTCACGTCGTGTAAGAGAACACTATTCACATAAGGAGCCTTAAATGGCTATAAAGATCATCCGAAGAGGAAAAAAACAAAAGTATGACTTGTATAACGTGTCATTTAAATAATAAAAAGTTTAATGCGTCATGCCCACGAGCACAAGCTATAAAATAAGTTTCTTTTCTCCTTTTTGAGAAAAGAAAATAAAAGTTACCACATCATGTCCTGATCATTTACGCTTCAATCCCTAACAAAGTTGGCATCAATTAACTGAGACCAAAATTTCATCAAACTAAATTGTTGAAACGTAATGTGTTACGTTCTTGCATATAAAATAGTTGACATCATGTAAAGTTTTCCATGAATTTGAGGCTTTTCATACGCCTAATTTTACAATATGAAAGATGAATACATACACTTTCATTAGTAGCGAGAGAATATAAAACATAAACTATGCGTTTATTTTACCTTCTTTTGTTTAATACACTAGAGAAAAAATATCATAGCAGACAACTTCTTGCCCAAGGAGCTGGAGGTGTTTGAATATTAAACTGAACAAATGAGCGGCAAGGATCAAGGTGGATCTCAAGAATATTCACACACACACACACAGCCGCTAATTTCCAGCATGAGATGGCCGAGGTACAGATCCCAAAGACTGCAGTATGGACGTAAAGTAATATAATCTTTGATAACTTGAAGAGTAGGCTGACAAATTTTGCCTATATAGTCCGTAATGCATCCAAAATCCAGGCAACAACAGCATATGATATGTCAAGCTCAAGGCAGCCAATCATTTTAACGGTTTAAAACTTCATCAATCGTGACAAAATATTTTGACAGTAGCAAAGGCTGCATCATAGGGATTTGCGAAGCGCCGTCCGTATCTCTTTCAACATCTCATTGACTTTAATCCCTTTTCTACAAGCAACGACATAAGAGAACTTTCACCATTTGCCACCCAAAGTAACATATAACTATATATAGCCTGAAGAGGTTTGGCTGAAACCAGCGCCGTTCTTTATCTTGGAGAATAACATAATTTATTTATCAAATATGGGATCCATAAAATATGCAAAGTACATGTGATGAGCACAAAATAAAATATAAGTAACAATGAAGTGTCTTTTTTCTTTTCTTTTTCCTTCTTTTTCTTCTGTGTTATGGAGTAGCTTAATTCCTGAAAACATGGTTGTGACATGACATAATTACAGATATGACAGCATCAACCATATAAATGGAAATAATGAACCTGACATATTATTTGGACAATCAACACTTCTCTTAAACACAGAAAGGTATATAGGGATATCTAAAGTTCCAAACTGGAGGGTCATATTAGTGTCTTCCTAAATACTTCTCCTATGACAGCAACATCAGATATATCTTGGAATTAAGTGCCTGCCAAATAATTTGGAGGAAGAAACTTATTTTACCGGCCAAAAATCACACACTCATGTCTAAATTTCCAAAATGAAGGGACATCAGCGTGTCTGTTACAGACCATTCTAGTTACACCTTATTCCAGGGGTTTATAGTAGGGCATATAAGATTCATACACTTATCCTAGTTACATATTATGCAAGGGGTTTATAAGTACTAGGAAAGAAGCGAAAGCTTTACCATTACTCCATGAATTCTTTATGTGTTACTAGCTTTGACAACTGAGCTACCAAGCTCTTTTAAGGAACTGCAGAAATTCGTTTCTTCCTTTGCAAATGTAAAAACTAAAAAGAATATATTTCAGTTAGCAACATGAAGACCATTTATTCACGTCTCAACCAGGATTGAAAGTCACAGGGCATATCAAAAACATCTTTCTCTGTGTTAAGAAGAAACACCAGAAATAAGCAGCACAAATCTGCGTTTCTAGATGTAAGATTCCTAATACGTATTATCTCATAAAATTTCAAGGAAAAACATGAGGGAGTTTGAGAATAGCTTTAACAGTTTCCAAACGGGTTGATAAGCTAGATTTTAACTCTAAGCAAGAAAAACTACTTCATAAAAATAAACAGGAAAACTAAAGTTATCATATGGGCTCTTTACAAAGATCTTTATCAACAGAAAAGACAATTCTTACCAGGATATGTTGGTAAAAACTACTTCATACATTTAAACAGGAAAACCTCAAAATTTGGTGGACGGGTTTAGGTGAGCTCTCTATCAACATTCCTTTTAAAGTTAAAACCCAAGTAGAAAAGACACCAGTCGCACCGCCTAAAATTCATACTGAGAGTGCATGATCTTTGAGGCTTGAAGTTCTGAAAACCGCTACTGACCAGAAGGTACTTAAAAACAGCTTAACATACAGCACGAGAAACAATACCACCTATTGCAATTCACTGATGCAGCATAGAAGTTGACTGAAATAATTTGTTACTCAAGGAAAGCCTGCTGTATAGAAACACTAT